AGTTTGCAGAAAAGGCGCGGGCGCGGTGGGGGCCCTGCGCCTCTGCGAGGCACGAAGTCTCACGAGGGCGATGCTGGACCGGAGGGGGTGGGGGAGGGCGCCAGAGGTCGGAGTTCAGCCTTCTCCCCTTTCACCAAGCCTCCAGGGGCTGGATTCTGCGGAATCGAGGCCCCCAGACTCCATCTCCTCTTAACTGATCTGCCAGAAAAGCCCGCCTCTCTCTCCAGCTTGATCTCTCCTGAGGGGGCTCTGCCGTTTCTAATCAGAAGGTTTACAGGCACCACACGACCAGGACCGGGGACTGGTGTGGGCTGCGCGAAAACAATGCTTTATCACCGCTACACTCCCCTCCCTCGAGGAAACAGGCCCAGAGAAGCAGCATTTGCATTTAAAATCAACAAATGAACCTTAAAAAAAGGGAGACTGGGCCTAACCACACACACACACACACACACACACACACACACACACACTCCCTATCAAATCTGTTCCATTTATTACTCAGCTCAGCGGTGTAGGTTCGCTTTTGACATTTGAAAGGAACTTCCAAGAGTAATTCTGTTTAGGAAAGAATGTTATTCAAGTGTATCCAGACTTTCTTAACGGCTATACTTGCCTGCATGGTTCACTATACATTGAAAATCATGCTTGATTCTAGAGCAGTGGTTCTCAACCTTGGCTGCACATTAGAATCACCTGGGAATCTTTTTAAAATCCTGATTTCTGGGCCTCATCCTCAGGAAATTCTGTTTCTTTGTGATGGGGTGGGGCCACAATATTAGTAACAAAGAAACAGAATTTCCGGAGGATGAGGCCCAGAAATCAGGATTTTAAAAAGATTCCCAGGCGCCTTAACCGGTTTGGCTCAGTGGATGGAGCGTCGGCCTGCGGACTGAAGGGTCCCAGGTTCGATTCCGGTCAAGGGCATGTACCTTGGTTGCGAGCACATCCCCAGTGGGGGGTGTGCGGGAGGCGGCTGGTCGATGTTTCTCTCTCATTGATGTTTCTGACTCTCTGTCCCTCTCCCTTCCTCTCTGTAAAAAAATCAATAAAATATATATTTAAAAAAAAAAAAAGATTCCCAGGTGATTCTAATGTGCAGCCAAGGTTGAGAACCACTGTTCTAGACCAGGGGTCCTCAAACTACGGCCCGAGGGCCACATGCAAATACAAATATTGTATTTGTTCCCGTTTTGTTTTTTACTTCAAAATAAGATATGTACAGTGTGCATAGGAATTTGTTCATAGTTTTTTTTTAAACTATAGTCCGGCCCTCCAACGGTCTGAGGGACAGTGAACTGGCCCCCTGTTTAAAAAGTTTGAGGACCCCTGTTCTAGACAGACAAAAGTTTCAAAATTATATCAGTACTAGTAATAAGCATCCTAGAGTGAAGCTTACAAAGGAAATAGCTCTTTATGGTTGAAAATGAAAGAGCTGCTTCCAGGTTATGGCTCTACTAACCCAAGTTTTGTTTAAAAACAAAACCCAGCCAGGCCCCTGCGAGGCTCAGTGGTTGAGTATTGACCTATGAACCAGGAGGTCAGGGTTCCATTCCTCCTCCGGGTTGCGTGTTCCATCCCCAGTAGGGGGCGTGCAGGAGGCAGCTGATCAATGTTTCTCTCACATTGCTCTTTCTCTCTCTCTCTCCCTTCCTCTCTTGGAAATCAATAAAAACAAAACACAAACGCCTCTACTGTATTTCTCATCATCACTAAACCCAGTAGGTCCATTGGCAACCCCGAAGCCCTCTCCCCCCAGTCAATGGGCAGCTGTCTAGGTTCCTTCCCATCACCTAACGGTAAGGTGTCAACACTTGACCGCAGACGCTGAGGGTGCCCTCCCACCCCTGGCTCACCCACAGTGCCACCCACAGTGCCACCCACAGTGCCACCCCAGCTTTGCAGTTTGAGGCGCTGAGGCAGAGTCTGGGCTCAGCGCCTGCGCCTTCATCCTGGAGACCAGGGGACCCGGCTTCCTGTCCCCGGGGACGGCAGACAGGCCCGCGCTGCCAGATGGGAAGCAGAGCCCCGAACAAAAGGCCGCCACTTCAAAAGGGCCCGCCCCGCGCAGCTGCTCTCACAGAGGCCGGAACAGACTGACGTCGGCAAAGCCTGAACCACTCTTCCCTGGGACACGCCTGCGCAGACCGTGGGAAACCCCAGGGAACTGCTCCCCAACGCCTGGCCTGAGCCAGCGCGCAGCCTGCTGCCTGCTTTGGACGGTGCGGCTCCTCTCCCTTCGCTCTGGGAAAGCAGCAGCTGCTTCTGCCTGGAGCCCGTGGGATGGGCTTTGAACCATGAAAAGGAAAAGGGAGCCTCTGTGTGTCGCCCTCAGGCGGAGGGTTCGGGTGGCCGATCCTTGCAGAGGTGTCTGCATCGCAGTCCCTCCTTTGTGCCCGAGCTGCATACATCCCTCTGCCTCCCCGTGCCACGCTGTGTGCCCTGTGAGGTTGTGGTGCCCAGTGTTCAAGGGAGCGGACACCAGGTGATCCCTGGTCAGGATCACCTTGGGAGGAAACTTACCAACGGGCAGGATCGGCTAGGGGCCTATGCTACTGATGGGCCTCGGAGCCGACCTGCACAAGGAGGGATAGCAGACTACATTTCTTTCTGTTTTTTAAAGAGACATGCTTTATTTGTTATTTTTTTAAAATATATTTTATTGATTTTTTACAGAGAGGAAGGGAGAGGGATAGAGAGTTAGAAACATCGATGAGAGAGAAACATCGATCAGCTGCCTCCTGCACACCCCCTACTGGGGATGTACCCGAAACCAAGGTACATGCCCTTGACCAGAATCGAAACCTGGGACCATTCAGTCCACAGGCCAACGCTCTATCCACTGAGCCAAACCGGCTAGGGCTTTATTTTTTATTTTTATTTTTTAAATATATTTTTATTGATTTCAGAGAGGAAGGGAGACGGAGAGGGAGGTGAAAACCTCAATGATGAGAACCATTGATCGGCTGCCTCCTGCACGCCCCCCCACTGGGGCTTGAGCCCGCAACCCGGGCATGTGTCCTCAACCGGAATGGAACCTGGGACCCTTCAGTCTGCAGGCCGACGCTCTATCCACTGAGCCAAACCGGCTAGGGCCAGACTACATTTCTTAACTGTCCAACAAGTAAGAGGCAACTTGAAATTAGCCTGAAAAATAAAACTATGACAGAAACATGTTTGTGAGACAGTGAAATAATATGCAAAAAGGTAAACAGGTGAAGTGCACAGGCCTACACAGGTGGACACATCTGGAAGTACCGCACAGGTCAGCAATACAAGATGACACTGCAGCCTGGCCGGCGTGGCTCAGTGGTTGAGCTTCAACCTATGAACCAGGTGGTCACAGCTCAATTCCCGGTCAGGGCACATGCCCTGGTTGTGGGCTCGATCCCCAGTAGGGTGTGTGCGGGAGGCAGCTGATCCATGATTCTCTCTCATCATGGATGTTTCTCTCTCCCTCTCCCTTCCTCTCTGACATCAATAAAGAGATACAATTTTTAAAAAATAGATGCTGACAAATGGATCAACACCCGCCTGAGCCAAAGAGCATTCTAAATGCAAATGCCCAGTCAGGGGTGCAGGCCTGAGGCTGGCGGTGGTGAGTAACATCCTTTGGCTGGGGAACCCCCGGGAGTGAGGAATGTCTGGGACTAACTTGGGACCGAAGTCAGGATGCTGGGAGGAAAAGGAAGCACGTGCAGGAGGAAGAAGCCAGATAAGGACCCGTGGAGACAAACAAAGTGACTTGTGCTGAGAAAGAAAGCACTTCCGGACAATGTTCTGGAAGAAGCCGGAGGAAGGCTCCCGGGGTGGAGATGAGAGGAGAGCCCAGGGCTCTGAGAAAGCAACGGCCACTCGGGCTCTTGGCACCGGAAGCAGTTCAACGCCTCCAACGGGCCCATCGAATCACAGTCGGCCCCACTTCAGTACACACCGTTTCCAACGCTTTCTCCCCGAAAGCCAACTGGCCAGTCGCTGAGTAAATAAAGCTCAAGCAGAAGGCGAACCGGGGTGTGCCGGACAGGGATTCAGTCTTTTTTTAATTTTCTTATTTTTATGGATTACAGAGAGGAAGGGAGAGGGAGAGAGAGAGATAGAAACATCAATGATGAGAGAGTCATTGATCAGCTGCCTCCTGCACACCCCAGACTGGGGATTGAGCCCGCAACCCAGGCACATGCCCTTGACCGGAATTGAACCGCAGGTTGATGCTCTATCCACTGAGCAACACCAGCCAGGGCAGAGATTCGGTCTTCATCACAGCTTCACTTGCTGGGACACAGCCATCAGGACCTGAGGAAACCTTCGTTTGGAAGTTTCCAGAGAAAGCCAGTAGGGGTGGAGGAGTGTGGCCGGGGAGGGGACCAAGCATGCCTTTGCTTCCCTCGATCCCGTGGACTGGGCAAACGTTCGGGGTCCGCTACATAGCTTGTAGACGGCACACAGGGCTGCACCTCATCTTCTGGCCTTGAGCTCTTCCTCTGCAAGCCTGGGGAATTCACTAGCAAACATTCCACGGGATAAATGGGCCTGGAATCCAGGCTTAGAACCCGAGGAGCCTGATTCAGGTGCTTGTTGGGCACTGACTTCCCCTGATGAAACGGAAGAGTGAGGGTTCTGAAGGAACCTTGCCCTTTCCACTGAAAAGCAGCAGACATTCAAGGATTCAGAAACAGTGCCCAAGCCCAGCCGGTGTGGCTCAGTGGTTGAGCATCAACCTATGAACCAGGAGGTCACGGTTCCATTCCCGGTCAGGGCACATGCCTGGATTGTGGGGCTCCAG